ACCACACACACACTGTCTTCGGAGAGCTGTCCAAGTCAGTAAAGGTGGAGCTTCCACAGTATCGTTAAAGGTTACACAATATTCCACACTGTGAGTATTGATAACCATTAGTTCATCACTGATGCTTTGCTGCTTGTGCGGCACTGAGCGGGCATTCTCAGTCTGAGCATCTCCGTGGCACGGCAGCCACCGAGTTAGACAAGCGGCTCAACGTTGACTTGATTGGATATTGCTAATCCAATCTCTTGACAGTCCTTACTATTTTCTGCTTTTTTTCCCACACCTTTGCCAGTATTGGACTTTATCAATCCTTTCCATTTTTGCCAACCTAATGAGCAAACAACAAAGCACAATAAACCCTGAGAGACACACACAAGACCGGGCATCAAATAGTTCATGGGAAAATTTTATTGCCTTTTCTGTTTTCCACAAACCTTTTGTTGAAGCCCCTTGTGTGTGTGTATATGCATTTACATATCTGGACACACACTTTTATATATATTACATATAGTTTATTCTTCTAGAAATATTTCCCAGGTTACTGGTAAAGTTGACCAACTTTTCATGTGTTTTCTACCCTTTTGTATTTCTGCTTCTTTGACTTGTGTTTCTTTATAGACCAAGTCTCAAAAGTATGCTTGTATCAGACTCTATGAGAGTTTGGATGTTTATGTAAAAGTCTGGTGAACATTATAACAGCATTGGTGTATTGGGAAATGGGAACACACAGAGGAGAACGTTTGGCAGAACCTTCTTGGTTGCAAGAGCATGGTTTTAAAACAAAAGCAAAGGGAAACTTGAGGAACATTGCCCCCCACCCCCACCCCCGTGTGTGTGTGTGTGTGTGTGTGTGTGTGTGTGTGTGTGTCACACTGGACTGATCCAGAAGGCTTCCAAAACAGATATCTACACTTTATCCTCCGTTATGGGCTGTAGTACAAGTTTTTCATTGCCAGGGGCGGGCGCCTTACTAAGTAATGCTTTTCCCCCTGAAAAGGAGGCGGTACCCAAATCAGTTTGGATGCCTTCGGTCAGAGTCCCAGAATCGTTCCTCACTGCAGCCTTGTGAACAACAGTGAGCCAAAGAGTAGGCACAGGGCACCTTTCTGCCCCACACCTAACGCCTGGCCGAATTGCCCGCCAAGCTGCTCTCTCACCTCCTCTCTGCTCATCAGAAGGCGGTTGACTTGGCCTCCAGCTTGGCCTCCAGGGACCCTGCTAATTGTATTGTGAACTGGCTTCGTTGTGAAATCCTTTTGGCGGTCCCTCTCTGTTGAGATCCCTGTGTTCCCCAGGGCCTGGAGCCCCTCAGCACCCAAGTAAAAGGGAAGGGGTCGAAGCCAGAGCACTGAACCGCTGGCGGGTCTCTTCCAGGTGAGAGTTGTCAATGAAGAACTCTACCGGAAGACTCTGGAAGAGATTGTGCGCTCCCTGGACAAGATGGAGAATGCCAACATTCCGTCTGTGTCCCTTTCCAAGCGGGAGGTAGGGAGGACACCTTAACCCTCTCAGCACCAGACTCTTCTTGTCGTAGAACTTACATCCCCACCTTTTCTAGGGCTGAGAGGAGCTACCATTCACACTCCTGGGTGTTTGAGGCCAGCGGTACGAGTTGAGAAGAGATGGGCTGTAGGGTTGGGTATTTGTGTCTCCTGGTCATCTACACGGGGGCCTTTAGCCTGTTGGGGCTCGTCCACACGAGGACCACCCATGAGTTAGGTGACAGCAGGTTGCGCTGTGGTGTTACGTGTCACCGAGTTGATTCCGGTGGACAACGAACGACCTGTTGGACAGAGTAGAACCACCTTGCAGAATGTCCAAAGCTATCGATCTTCACAGTAGACCATCTTGTCTGGTGGGTTCAACTCCTCCACCTTTTATGGTTTGCAGCAAGTGCTTTAACCATGGTGCCACCAGACCTCCTTATGTTAGGGACCTGGAGCTATTTCCCTTTCAATGGAATGAGATCAAACACAAGGCTGCTATACAGAGAGGCCTTTATTATGCTAGCTTAAGCCAGGGCTCCAGCCCTCAGGTGCTTAACCACGCACCTGTCTTGGTCTGGAGCCCCGAACAAAATAAATTCTTATGTATCTATAAGGTACATAATGGAGCGTTCCCAGCCCCTCTCCCTGCACCCCCCCATCTGTCCATCGATTGGCTCATTTGAGGTGGGTTGGCCGTCCGGTCCTTTGTGTAGTTCCCGCGCTGGCCGGGTAGTCCTCCCCTCGGCGTTTGGGCTCGTAGTGCTGCTCCCGGTTGGCTAGCCGCAGTTTCCGGGTCTGTCTTACTTTGCACTGCTAGGAAACACGAAACCACAACCTGCCCGAGATCGTGGTACCAGTCACGGGGGTAATCTGGCTTTACACTTAAATGGTGGCATAGAGGATCCAAAATGTTGTTGGATTTTGGAGTAACTGGAATGTTATCCTCGCAAAGGACTTGTTTTCCTATTGAAGCTCCGACTGAGGTTAAATTGCGTTGGGATTTCCTGGGGACATATGAGTTCTTGTGAGTGAAGGCAGTATAGGCTAGTGATGAGCAGCCGGGCCCAGGGCCCAGATTAAAGCTTAAAGTGCCCCAGGAAGAGCCACTGTGCAGACCACTCGGGATTGGCAATACCACGCTGTCACTCAAGTGGTGCTTGAGGGAAAGGATGCTTTTAATCCCCTAGGCATCCAACTCTGGGGAGGATGAGTCCGATCACCCTGTTTGGGGGTTTAATTTGTGAAGCGTGTTTTTGAAACCCTCTTTGAGTATAGAAGCTTTCAATCTGCACTCCAGGAAATTTCTTTCACAAACCAACCCAAGTTTTCAGGTCTCTGGGTTAGACATGGCTGCTTTGGCCTCCCAGGTACTTAAGGAAACAACAGTGTTGTCTCAAAGGGCTGGCTCGATACTTTCTTCCTAGGGGCGCACTAGCTCAGTGGGGTGCTGGGCAGGTTGTCGAGGAGACAGTGCCGGCACCGGCACCGGCACCGGTGCTGACTGGCCCCGGGCTTGCGCCCAGTTCTGCTTTCAGAATGTGAAGTACATGCAGTTGCACGTCGAGTCCTTCACGATCCAAAACGGGCCAGTGCCCTGTCAGTTTGAATTCATCAACAAGCCCGGCGAAGACTCCTACTGCAAGCAGTGGCTGAATGCCAGTCCCAGTAGAGGCTTCCTCCTGCCAGGTAAGGCTCTGTGTCCAGGCTGCCCAGGTGCTAGTGTGGGGAGTGACCGACCCAGCCCTTGCTCATTCTCCCAAAGTAGGCATTTTGTTTTGCTGCTGTATGGTTTGTTCTCCGCTGGCAACCTTTCTCAAGCCCTGGGGATGATCCCAGGAGCCTCCGTGTCACAATGGTTAGGTGTTCAGCTGTGTTCTCAAAGGTGGGCAGTTTGAGCCCAGCAGCAGCAGCTTTGCAGGAGACCAGACCTGGTGATCTGCTCGCAGAGAGACTGCAGTTTAGGAATTGCCACGGGGCAGTGCCACTCTGTCCAGAGGAGCCGGCTCCTGCGCACAGCACCGGATGAACCCACCCGTCATCCTGCAAGCAGTGAGGAGTGTCGGTGCGCGTTTCCAAAGGAGGCTCAGTAGTTTGCATGTCCCCTAACTTCATGGAAAAAGAAAACACCACTAAAGGAGCTTGTCCCAGCCCGTCTCTCTGCAGTCCACTCCTAATTACCCGCCCAACCCGCTGCTGGTGGGTCGATGCCCGCGTAGAGCCCCTGTAGGACAGGAGCGAGCCACCCCACAGGGATGTCCAAGGCATGCTCTTTAGGAGGCAGACAGCCCCGGCATTCTCTTGAGGAGCAGCTGGTGGGTTCGAACCATTAACCTTTCAAACCAGCAGTCTTTCATCCGAGCGGTGAACCACCAGGCTCCTTGTGGAGCATCATGGGTGGACCTTGAGAAGTTATGGGTGGCTGTAGAATGTACCGTCTGAAGCTTCCCCCTCAGGCTTCCCTTTCCCCCTGTGGCAGAGCGGTCCCTTATGGTCCACAGTGACTGTATTTTACCGACTACTCAGATGGCTACCTTGATCCCACCTGGCTCAGAGAAAGCTCTTTGGTCCATACCTTCTGGTGGTGTCAGTGTTTCTAGCTTAACTGTGCTGCTTAGTTCGTGAGGGGGACTGTGTAGCACTTTATTCACAATTTTGTGTTTTCCTATTGTCCTGTACACTCCCTGTTCTTGTGTCTCCTAAAAGCTGAGCATTGAGATCCTTGTTGGCTAGCCAATGCCTTTTGTTCCCCTTCCCTACCTCCTAATGGGAGAAAGACAAGGTTTCTACGCCTGTAAAGAGTTCCGTTCTCCGAACCCCACAGGGGCAGTGCTGCTCTGACCGCTAGGGCTGCCGTGAGTCAGTATGGGCTGGATGGCAGTGAACTTGCTTGTTTGTGTCACCTCTTATGTCTCACCCTCTTCCTCGCTGATCACTGGTCTCCCTTCCCCAAGGCACCTCCCAAGCCAACGCTGTCATTTTCATCTGTCTCCAGATTCCCACATGGAGATCGAGTTGGAGCTGTTTGTTAATAAGACCACGGCAACAAAGCTCAACTCAGGCGAAGACACCATCGAGGACATTCTGGTTCTGCACCTGGAGAGGGGAAAGGATTACTTCTTGCCTGTGTCGGGGAACTACTTGCCCAGCTGTTTCGGGTCACCCATTCATACCTTATGCTACATGAAGGAGCCCATCTTGGACCTTCCACTGGAAACGATTAGAGAGCTGGTGAGTTACATACCACAAGGAAGTGTCCAGCATAGCGTAGTCCAGCTCTTCAACATGATTTCCCTACGGCTACCTTCTCAGGGACCTGAGAATTCTTGCTTCGTGTATCCATTACATATTGCTGGGTAACAAACCACCCCCAGGTGTTAGTGACTTAACGTGACAACGTGTTGCCTCTCGCCATTCTGTAGGTCCCCAGTGTGGTTCTTCGCTAGTCTCGCTTAGGCTCCTTTGTGTGGTTGCAGTCAGGTGGCAGCTGTGCGATGGCTGAGAGAGGATTTATTCCAGAAGGATCAGCCCCAAACCGGCTCCTATGAGGTGGAGGACACAGACGTCTCAAACACTCAACTTTTCCAAACTGCTGGACCCTTCCATCCATCCTGTGTTAGTCTGGATAGACTAGAGAAGCAAACCCAGAGACACTCAGATGTGTATAAGAAAGAGCTTTTATATCATAGAGCAATTATATTGAGAAAACATCCCAGCCCAGTCCAGATCAAGTCCACAAGTCCGATATTAGCCCATATGTCCAATATCAGTCTACAAATTTCTCTTCAGACTCATGAAACACATGCAATGACGCCGAATGCAGGAAGATCACAGGACAGTGGGTGGAAAGTCTTGTGCATCCAGTGGCAGTGGAAGCTTCTCAGCACTGGCGTGGTTCTCCACGTTTCTCCTCTAGCTCTTTGAGTTTCTCAACAGCAGGAAAGGGAAGGCAGAGAGAGTGTGTGTGTCCTGCCTCCAGGGAGGAAGGCAGGAGTTCCCAGAATGCTCAGGAGAAGGCCATGCCCACACAGAAGCATTATTGGCTATATGACCTGATTGACAGGCTAGACTCCACCCCTTCTCAAGTTGACAGGTTATATAACTGCCACACTTCCTAACCCCACTCCCATCAGTACATGCCCTCCTGCCTCTGGGTTTGGTGATTTGCTGCACAGTCTCACAGAACTCATGGCAGACTTACAGAGAAGTGGTTGATTGGGAACTAACAGGTTACAACAGGGGATTTGGGATTTGGATCGCCTTGGAAGTAGCAAACTACTGGAGGCGCAGTTCTTCCATTTGGAATGCTGCTTCAATCCCTCTGCCATGGGGCCCTGCTTGGGCAAGTGTTACAAGTCTTACATCTGGGTCAGATAGCCCCACCACAGCCCTCTCGCACTGACTGGTTTCCTCATTCCTGCCGGCCTGCTCCATCACTGCTCTTGGGACTATTGTGCCATTGTCTTTTTTTTTTTTTTTTTTAAAAAAAATCATTTTATTGGGGGCTCATACAACTGTTATCCCAATCCATACACACATCAATTGTGTAAGGCGCATTTGTACATCGTTTCTCAAAACATTTTCTCTCCATTTAAACCCCCGACATTAGGTCATTTTTCCCCTCCCTCCCCGCTCCCCCCTCCCGCATGAGCCCTTGATAGTTTATAAATGGGTATTTTGTCATATCTTGCCCTGTCCGACGTCTCCCTTCATCCACTTTTTGATTGTCTGTCCCCCAGGGAGGAGGTCACACACAGTTCCATGTAATTGGTTCCCTCTTTCCTACCCATTCTCCCTTTGCCATTGTGTCTTCTAGTCTTCCATGTTACAGCTCTTTCTCTTTCTCTCCCTCTCTCTGCCTTCAAGGTGTAGGAGGTTCCCAGCACAGGGACTCTGGGTCCAATGGACAGACTCCACTCCCACCTCTTCTTTCTTGATCACAAGGTTCGCTCTCTTCTCTAGGACTGGCTCTCTTTTAAGCCTAGCAGGATGACCAAACTGGCCAATCTCCTAGTGTTCTGCATCCCTTACTTGCATAGTCCCACCCCTACAGGCATACCATGATCCTTATTTGCATGCCTTCCAAGGACTATCGTCAGAAGGGCCTTCACTGCATTGCACCGAATCAGGATGACTTCCCTTGCTTGTCTTTGTTGACTGTTCAATAGGTCCTTCTTTCCACATGGTCTCTGATCATTCTGGAGGCTCGTCCAGGATGCATATGTGGTAGCAAGGACATGCCAAGAGTTTGAGGCCTCCTGTGGCTCAGGCTCTAAAACTCAGTACCACTTGGGCCATGTTTTACTGGTTAGAGCAAGTTAGGAAGCAGGCCCTGATTCCAGGCTAGAAACAGACGCCACCATTTGATGGGGAGAGCTGCCAAGGGCAGTGGTCATATTTGTAATCTTGCGTGCATGGTGCATCAGAGAAACTTAGCCCCGGGGGTACTAAGATAATAATGAAGGTTCTCTAGCCCCTGATGTTATTTGTGGGTTCTTGTTTTTTTTATTATCACTTGGCTTATTTTCTTAGATGAATTTTGCTGAGATTCTTAGATAAAAGGCATGTATAGAGGTAATGCAAACACAAGAACAGTTTGGAGCAGATGTATGCTAATATGTGTGCTCTTTGTTTTTTCCCCAGTGCATTTTAATATATATATTTTAAGTTTTAAATGGATGAACTCTTGACCTCTATCCTCCCCATTGTGTAGATGAAAGCAGAGGCCCAGTCAAGGCGAGGGATTTGTCACAGGTCACATGGCGAGTTAGCAGTGGACCTGGACCTTCAGCTCAGGTTGTTGGACTCCCAAGACTGTTGTGTTCTTTCCGCACCAGACCTTACCATGTCTCTGATTCGAGTGTATTGTTGTAGGCATGATGGTTTTTCTTTTCCCGCCTCAAGAAGATGGAGCTTATTTTACTTGTTCCTCTGAAACTGCTTGCCATATCCCTTCCCGATACTCAGAAATCATCTTTGCCCCTTGATCATGCCACGTGACCTCATGTTTGCCTGCGGAATGATTGGTCAGGCGTGCTGAAACGCTCCCTTTCCCATGAGCCTGCTGCCCTCGTGTTGTGCATTCTCCTGACGCCAGCATGGCAGACGTTCCACTCGGGGACCTTCTTGTCATGGGTGTACTTCCCCTTCAGACTCTGATGCCCATGCAGACCCAAGATGATGGGAGCCAGCTGGAGAAGAACCACATGGAAATCCCCAAGGAGCTCTGGATGATGGTCGATTTCTTGTACCGGAATGCTGTTCAGCAGGTAGGTGAGAGTTAAAGTTGAGTACAAGCATCAGCCTCCAGAACCCTTGTCTTTAAAAGCTTTACCTGCTGGGGACGCTGCAGAGCCCTGCTCTTCCTCTAGAAAGGGGACGGGGGTGGGGGTGGGGGTGGGGGGATGTGGGGGGGCGCGAGGGCATCCTGGGTCACTCCCCTGTGGTTATGCACAGTACTGATCTCCCAGAACAACAAGGTCTCCCTCTGCCCTGGAAGTGGGAGGGGTTAACTTGTTGATAAGCCAAACAGAGGCAGAAGAGCCTATGGAGAAACCATAGTATTACATACAAAATTACAAAATACAAAATTAAAGAAACATTTGATACATCAGCATTTAAAGATATTTGTGATGAATACAGGTCACAAAATAAATGTCTGTTATTTCAGCTTCCATTGTGTGGCAAATAAATAAGCAACAAAACAGTTGCTACCTATTGGTATGTATTTGTCAGGATTTAAAAAAATACTTGTCAAGATTTTGAAATGTGCAGCGCAGTATCATTAATTCATTGTGTTATTCAACCATCATCATTAGCCTTGACAGAAGCTCTGCACAGTGCGTCCTGTGTTCCCCTCCCACCCCACTCAGTAGTCACTGATAAACTTTGGCCTCCATCCATTTGTCTTTTCTAGATTGTTCGTATAAGTGCCGTCATACAGTTTTCACCCTTTTATGATTTATTTTCCTCAGCAGGTTTTCAGGGTTCACCGAACAACACACTCCTCCCCCTACTCCTCTTCACAGTCGCTGACTGTTTGAATCTACCAGGCCTGTTCTAAGTCTTTCTTTTTTAAATCATTTTATTGGGGGCTCGTACAACTCTTATCACAAGCCATACATACATCAATTGTTTGTCAAGTACATTTGTACATTCATTGTCCTCATCATTCTCAAATCATTTGCTCTCCACCCAAGCCCCTGGCATCAGCTCCTCATTTTCCTCCCTCCCTCCCCGCTCTCCCCTCCCCCATGAACCCTTGATAATTTGTAAATTATTCTTTTGTCATATCTTCTGTCTTTGAGGGTATCGCCTCATTTAGTTCTCACAATAGCTCCTCCATAAGAGCTCTCAGCTGGTCCAGAGTAGGGATGGGAACGGCAGGCCATGGCCCCCACCAGGCCCACATCATCATCAGTAACTGTTAACATCACACACCTCACTGCAGAAGCAGTTCCACAGCCATTACACTAGGGGTGAGGGAATCTGGCCAGTTTGGCCCGAATGATGTTGTACATCTCCAAATGGCCCTCGGCAGAAAAAAAGGTTCCCCATCTCTGGTGTGGAGGCAAGGGAGTTTGGCACGATTTCTTACATTTTTATCACCCTGAGCTAATCCACCTTCTCAGAAGAAGCCCCTTTCAGTAACTTTTGAGCAAGGTGTGTAATATTGTTGTTATTAACACAGTTATATAGCTTTACATACTCTCACAAACCTTTATTACTGTAAGCCTGTTTGCACAAAGCACAGATCTCCAGCCTGCACATGGTTTACTTTCTTTTGTTTTTCTACCTTTGGTTAATCCTCGCCCCCGCCTGCTCCCCTTAGCCCTGCAAGACGCCTAGCAACATGGAAACTTTCCTTTACGTCGGATTTATTTGTCATGTGTGCGATATCCCCTGCTGTGTAAAACTACCTACGACAGTTTTATAATAGAGGTCTTGTCATCCTGAAGATGGGCCGGAGGGATCTCCCAGACAGACCAGCAAGATGAATGGACCACAGCAGTCTCGCCATCAGATTGGGCAGGGGGACCCCAGGCCCCACCCCACCCCACCCCACCCCTGCGCTGCCCCGCCCTTCCCCGACCCGCCGGGCTCCTTTTCTTGTTATGCTGGTGATTAGTGATTCGATTTCTGGGTCCGGAGATCATTGCTGGTTTTTCAAGAAAATAATTGTTTTGTGATTTTGTTCTCTTCTGCAGGAAGATCTGTTTCAGCAGCCTGGCCTAAGGTCAGAATTTGAGCATATCAGGGACTGTTTGGACACTGGGATGATCGACTCTCTCGGTATCCTCCAGGCATTCAGGGGTGGGTGTAATGGTGTGGTGGCGGTGGCGGTGTGTGTGTAGAGAGAAAGTAAAGAAACCTATTTCAAGGTTGCTCCAAAGCTGATGTTGTGTCCTCGGCTATTATGTTTTTCTTATGTAAACGTTTACGTGGCGAAGACGGTGAGTAACCAGGAACTTGGGAGGGCCTGGCTCAGCCGATAAACAGTGTGGCCCTTTTGAGATGCCAGGCTGGCATCCCAGTGCCAAGCTGAGACTGGTTGGGTGGGCAGCTCTGGTGGCCCATGCTCCTCCTGGGCCTTTTCCCAACTGTGCACAGCCACAGCAACTGATCCTTAACCTGGGCCCAAAGCTGCTAACAATCATTCCGTAGCCGAGGCCTTGCTGCTTTTCCTTGAGAGCCTGCCAGAGCCTGTCATCTGTTACAGCACCTACCATACCTGCTTGGAGTGTTCTGGCAACTACAGCGCAAGTAAACAGGTGAGGGGAAGCCTTGAACATCAGGGGACACGTGTTGCTAGCCCCAGGCCTCCAGGGCCCTGATGGAACAGAGTGGGCACAGTCCCTTACCTGCAGTGTCCAGGAAGGAAACTCGCTCCCTTCCCAGACCTGTTCTTCCTCTCCCCTGCCTTTTCTTTCTAATGCCATCACCATTAATTTTAGTGACTCAGCTCTGAAACCTGAGTCATGTCTGCCTCCTCCCAGTCTCTCACCTCCCACCTGCCAGGTGCCAAGTCCTATTGATCTAGCACCCCTGCCCTCTCCTCCATCCCTCCAGCCTCCCGCAGCTCCCTCTGCTGATATTTCAAATACAGTCTTCAGATGGTGTTTCTTAAAAGCCACAGTTGGCTCTCCAAGGCCAGTTAATATGGGTTTTTAATTTCCTAACGATTTACCACCTGCGATCTTGCTGAGCGGCTCACACTACAGAGCCTAGCAGAATAATCTAGAACGCTTGTTAGTAATAGACGTTCCAGAGCCTCACCCTCAAGTCCACTGACTCCGAAGCGTTGAGTGAACACAGCTGTGCTCCCGTCAACACTAACCTCACAGGCTGCTCTGCCTTCTCACACTGATTTCCTTCACTTGCCTCTTTTTAGTTCTGCCTTCCTGGGCTCTAAGGACCCTATTCCTTAGTTCTCTGAGTCTGATTTTGTCGGGACACAACTTAAATGCCTTCTAGTCCCTGAAGGCAACCGAAAACATGCAGCTTCAAGTTTGGCTTCTAAATCCACGTCATGCCTCGTTTTTTGGCACTTGGGCCACAGGATCACAACCTCCTGTGCACTGTCTGAGTCACATTCTCAGTTCCTGGAATATGGTGGGCGCTCGACAACACGGCTGCTCAAATGAACGAGGAGACAACCCCCGCTTCTTCCTCTTTCAGGTCATTTCCACCCTCCCCACATTCCACAGAAATGTCTTCAACTACTTGATGGCATTCTTGAAAGAACTGCTGAAAAATTCAGCCAAAAACCACTTGGACGAGAATATTCTAGGTAAGCAACCAAGTGCCTTGTGAGGCCTCTCTGCCACCTGAGAAACTCAGTGTGGGAAATGTGATTGAGAACAGCCCCGAGCCCACTGCCGGAGAACTAAGATCTTCAGCTCCTCTCCCCTCCTAACAGCAAGAGCAGTAGTACGTCTTCTGCTGAATCATTTTGTTTTCTGTGTTTTTCACGCAGCCAGCATCTTTGGCAGCTTGCTACTTCGAAACCCAGCTGGTCACCAAAAACTTGAAATGGCAGAGAAGAAGAAAGCTCAAGGGTTTATCCACCAGTTCCTCTGCAGTTCCCCCTGAGCCTCCCGTGCTTTGCCGGAGGCAGCCACTGCCAGCCTCACCTGCGTTCCACTTCAGGGATGCCCTAAGGAGAGTGTGAGCCCCCCTGAAAGCGAGAAGGGCAGCTGCCTGTGTCCTGAGCCCAGGACCCCATGGCTAGCACAAACAGCGACTGTGAGTTCTGAAGACTTAGGAGGGGGAAATTGTCAACAATAGTTAAAACTGACACTCAACGTTCAACTTTAGTTATTTAACACAGATAGGTTTTCTTTTTGATTTTTAAAATGTAAACAAAAATACTAAACCATGTACAATCAGCCTGCTTCCAGGGCACAGTCAGTGCCTTCCCTGGGGCCGGGCTGAGCTTCCTGCGATCAGGTATTATTTAAACAGACCAGAAAGTGAGTAGGACTGCAAGAATGGAAGCTGCGGGACGCACCACAGCTGCAGGAAGGACCACAGCCACCCCAGATGCTTCCAGGGCCCGGTCCGAGGACGTGCACACATGCATATGCAGATCCTGTGCCCCAACACCCACAAATGTGGTTCAGTAACTGTGAGGCTGGCCGCTGAGGACAACAAAAAGTCTTGGAAATTAAAACACTGAGGAAATCAGTGTTCTGACGAAACTAGTGGGATTCTTCCGACCAACCAACCCTCCAGACTTGTATATAATGCAATCTTTCTCTGCCATGTGTAATATATTTGGATGATAAATGTATTTTTAACAGTGGTGGTTGTGTATGTTTTGTCTTAAGGGACTCTTGCTATAGACGGACAGGGCTGTTAGGTCGGGCCAGAGAGACCCTTACCTGGCTGACTGGTGGGTAACAGGCACTATTTACGCTCTTCAGCCATGACCCTGGTCTCCTCTCTCTGGGGGTTGTCCCACTCTGAGAGGTAGTCTGTGGGAGCGCTTGTAACTAGATCTTCCAGGTGTCTGGGTTTGAGGGAACGATTAGGAGCTTAACGTAGGCACCAGAGAGATTGCTTGGGGGTTGGGGCGGGGGTGGGGGGGGTGGGAGCGGGGCAGTTACAACGCGATCTTCGAAAGGGACCCGAATGGCTATGTCAGCGGTGAAAGGAAGGGAAGGGCCAGTAGGTGGCGTTGGCGGATCTGAGCCCGAGCCCGATGAAGGGGCCGAGCTCTGCCTGAGCGACGTTGGGCTCTGACAGCTTGGGCAGGAGGGTGGGAAGGGGAGCGAGAGCGTCCTGTCTGGCTTGACTAGTGAGTTAGTTCTGCGCGAGCTTCCTTTCTGAATTTCCCCAGAGTCCCTGTCCTCACTGACATTAACTTGAATAAGTGAAGGGGGTGGGGTGGGGTGCGGGGGCCTCGGGGTGAAATCCGAGCACGCTTCCAGGTTCTCCCTTGAGTCCGGGCCGGGATTCGGGTGTCTGTCCGCGGGGCTTCCCGTGGCAGCTGCGGCCGCCAGGGATAGAAAGGCGCCTTCGGAGTAAGGGTTGCGGGGTTCGCGCTCGTCCCCCGCGCCCCGCGGCCCCGGCGCGGCGTCCCGACTGCCGCCTCATATGGCAAAGCGCTCCCCGGCGCGGGTCGCCCTCCGGCCGGGGGCGGAGCCCTGGGCGCAGCGCCCCGCCCCTCCCGCTCGCCTATTGGAGGCTTGAGCTCAGCCTCCAGACCGCCTAAGCCAACCAGAGACACGAGGGACAAGCCGAGGCACGTTTTCCCCCTTCCCCCGGAAAGCGGAAGCGGAAGTGACGCCTGAGGGAGGGGGGGCAATCATGGTGCCGCTGGGGAGGGGAGAAGCTGCTGCCGCCGCCGTTGCCGGGAGCCGCGGAGGTAAAAGGCGAACCCAGACTCGGCCTGGGCTCGGGACTTTCCGGGGGGTGCGAGACTTGAGCTCCTCTCTCAAGCATTTCCTAGTATGGACCCCAATCTGGTCACGATAGAGACCCCACCCCTCCTCCGTTTCTATGGGGATGGGTATCCAGCCCCCCTCTTCTGTTTCCATGGAGACCCGGACCCTGTCCCTCATCGCCAGGCTTGGAGCCCCCCATTCCGTCTCGGATTTGCCCGTGTAGCGCTGTGCTGGAGGCTGCCCCAGGCAGGTTTTTTTCCTCACCTTCCTCGGGGGGTGCTTCGTTCGTACTCCTTAAGGCGCCTGTTCTGTTTGTTCCGGACAGTTGGTCTCCGCGTTGCTGCTCATGGTCTTGGGACAGCCCAGTGGGGCCCTCAATGCTCTTATCTCTCCTTTCAGATGCAGCGACATGTACATCTACGGGGTTGCGTAAGCCCGAGCCAGGGGTCGAGCCCGGTTCCTCCCGGATCTGATCCCTTGGCCTGCCCCTCGTAACTACATCTCTGTCTAACCAGCCTACTACGTGAAGGCGCCCTTTCTAGCCTAGAGCAGAAGAGAAAAAGTGCAAACCCACTAACCTCCTGCCAACGAGTCGATTCTGATTCATGGTGATCCTGCATAGGGTGTCCGATGCTGTAAATCTTCATGGGAGAAGACAGCTCCATCTTTTTATAAAGTGTAAAAGCCAGGCCAGAAACGAAAAGTGTCGTCTTGGTGGCTTTAAGATGGACTATTCTGCTGGCCCTACCCCCATCCGTAGAACCTGTGTGTTTGGTGGTGAAGGAAGAACCACAATTCCAGACTTTAAAAGCTTCCAGTTTGGTCATTTCCCCCGCAGAGTGTATCTGTTGCTTTCTCATTCATTCTGCTTACGTTTTTCTGAACTTAAGGTTGCAGTGTACTTTGCTAACTAAGGGCTATAGAAACGAAAATAAGTTAATACTCAGCATTCCGTCATTTCAGAGACCCCCTCACCAAGCACGGCCTCTGGTTGACACCAGGTGGCTTTAGTGGAGAAGTACAGAAAATAATCCACACTAGGTGTGCCTGTTTAGGGAGCACTCCTTGCCACCCAGAGTCGGAAACTCCCAGGATTGAAGGAGGGAATTCCACTGTACCTCTGCAACTTGTCAGACACTGCCTTACACAACTTCTCTCTGACTCCATGTTGCAACTTTGAGAGAACAGGAATTGCTACTCCCACTGAGTGCATAGGGACACACAGAAAACTGACTCAAGTAGTACAGGGTCAGGCCAGTATCTGTCAGGGGGTAAGCATGGCTCCAAAGCCCCCTGCCATAGATCATACAGTCTTCATGTCTGATTTTGGGGGGTAGGTATTTGAATGGGTGTCCTTTACTTTAAAATTTAATAGAACAGCCCCCAAAGATACTGCTCTGTTTGCTCCTTTAGCCCCGTTAGGTATTTTGACCAGTCTTCACACTTCGCACTATTTGACCAGAAGGTACATTCAGAAAGTCTTATGAATTGATCTGATACTTACTACTTTAAAACAAAAAAGCTTTTTGAGGCATTAGTCCCCTCCCGCCAAAAAAAAAAAAAAGGACTTAAGATTTCAGAATTAGGGCAATGAATGTACAAATGTGCTTTACACAATTGATGTATGTATGGATTGTGATAAGAGTTGTATAAGCCCCTAATAAAATGATTAAAAAAAAAGATTTCAGAATCAAGCTAATTCTGGCCTCTAACTCTGGCCTTGTATTACAGACGGGTCATTGCCTTTCCATTTCTCACAACTGAGCTGAGCACTGCTGAACCATGGGGGAACACAGTCCAGACAACAACATCATCTACTTTGAGGCGGAGGACGATGAGCTGACTCCCGACGACAAGATGCTCAGGTTTGTGGACAAGAACGGACTGGTGCCTTCCTCATCTGGAACTGTGTACGATAGGACAACTGTTCTTATTGAGCAAGACCCTGGCACTTTGGAGGATGAAGACGACGATGGGCAGTGTGGAGAACACTTGCCCTATTTGGTCGGGGGTGTAGAGGGCTTTCACCTAATAGACCATGAAGCAATGTCCCAGGGTTACGTGCAACACATTATCTCGCCGGATCAGATTCATTTGACAATAAACCCTGGTTCCACGCCCATGCCAAGAAATATCGAAGGTGCAACTCTCACTCTGCAGTCGGAATGCCCGGAAACAAAACGCAAAGAAGTAAGTCAAAAGGCAGGGGGTGAGGGGCCAGTTTGGCATTGGGGAAGCTTCAACACTGTTTGTTCAGTACCTCTTGGCTGTTTTAGCTGCGGAGTAAAGGATGGGTTACTCCAAGCGCTTCACGTTTTGATGTGTCTGCTTTTGGTTTTCTGGGATGGTGGCCCTGTATGGCCACACGGAAATTGTGGAAAACAGAATCTAGTTCCTCCACATTTCTTCTCCAAGTCCTGGCTGTTGAGAGGGAATTCCTGATGTGTGATGCTGACATCACTAGACTTGGCTTCTCTGATAAGTGCAATCACTCGATTTGACTCATCTCTGCACTGATGGATCAGTGGCTTGTTTTGGAGACGGGTGTCTGCTGCATATGGTTTCTGATTGTACGGGATGCTTGGTAAATAATCAAGACTACCTTTCTTTCACAGGGAGAAAGATGAGGTTTTTTACTCCCAGAAAAACTTACAGTCTCGGAAGCCCACCGAGGTATTTGAATTTGTGAGACATATTCAAATTGATGGCAAGGAGTTTGGTTTTGATATTTTTTCTTTCACAATAAAGTCAGACAAGAGACGACAAATGAGAGCAGTTAGATTGCAGAGGTTTCCCACTCGTATTTAAGTTATGGAAGGGTATGCATATCGGAGGGCTTTGAAAGCTGTAAAGCATTGTGCAGATTGTACTTGTGGTGGCTATTGGTGGAATCAAAGATACAGTTTAAAGGATTCTAAGAAGTAACTGCCTGCAGCTTAGTTAAGAAAAGTTAGGTCACTGGCCATTGCAATGCCAGGGAATGGCTCTACGATGTTACTATCCAGGAAGGGGGTAAAGCGTTGAGCAAAATAGGTGTTGCTTGTAATGAAAGCCTTGAGGCCAGAGAACGCCGTAGCGGCTTACCCTTTGGCAGCCTTAGACGCTAGAGCTGGGGGAACTGGAGCAAGACGTCTCATACTCCCTCCCACCGTACATGGGAATCACTCCACAGCATCTCTGAGATCAGGTTTCCTTTTGAACACTTCCAGCACGACGGGAACGCAGCATTTCACAGCTCAGCCTCAAACGTTTTTGGCCAGCTCTGATTGTTAGAAAGCTTTTACTTGCATAGAGCCAAAATCTATCTCCCTGCAAATGCCACCCACTGCTTCTAGCGCTGTCTTCCTGAGTAACAGCGAGTTACCCTTCCTCCCACAAGACAGCCCATCCGATATTTAAAGATAGCTATCAGGGATTTCTCTTCATCTTCTCTTCTGCCGGCCGAGTGCTTCCATTCCCTTAACTGTACTCTTACGGCACTGTTGGCGTCGCTCATTAGCCAGCCACCTCAGGTTGTGTAAGTGCCAGAGTTGAACCCAGTCTCACCAATGTGAATCATCTAGCCCTGAATATAGTGGAGCCCTGATCTCTTAATCTGGACACGACACAATTAATAGCTTGTTTATATTTTATCAGCAACAGCACCCCGCTGTAGTGTGTACTAGGAAGCTTCCAGATTAATGGGTCTCCCTGGGAGATGGAGGAGCAATTTTGCCTCCACAGGAGACATTTAGCATTGTCCAAAAACCGTTTTGGTTGTCATAGTAGGGAGGTGCTATTGCAACCTAACAGGTAGAGACAAGGAATGCTGTTAAATATTCTACAATGCACAGGGCAGCCCCTACAGCCCCTACAACGATCTTGCCTAACATGTCACTAGTGATGAGGTTGGGAAACCTCACCCTAGATGATTCTCGAGTGCAGGGTTTGAGGCCGGCCCTCCCCCAGTTATATCTTCAGCAATTGAGAAGCAATGACGGTATTAAAGCCGAAGAAGAATCTCCCTAGTGAATTTGATCTTGATGATTTCAGCCCAGTGTTTGCGTTGGTGAGGAGTCGCTTCAGCTCAGTCAACATTTATCAAATGAAATGCTGTTGTGTGCTAAGAGCTGCAAAGACCGCTAGGATTGTAGAGACCAGGGGGCAGCTAACTGCTGGAGAGCCATATGCGGCTCCTTCAGTATGTATATATGGCTCTGAAATAAAACTGAAAATGAAAATAAAATAGTCAATTTCCTTTAAGGGATCTTACACAGATCACGGTGATATCATTTGTTTGTAAAATTATGTTTATGATTCTCGAATCATTTTTAAATTGTGAGAGGCAAGATTGACTCGTCTGTCTCAAAAGTTAGCCGACTCCTGGTGTAGAAGTAGAAATAAGTTTATTCCAGTAACCCTAACATCAGGCACAGCGTGGTGGTAAGTGTGAGGGCAGCGGTCGGCAGTACCCTGGAAGCACAGAGAAGGTCACTTTTGTCCTCAGAAATTAGGGAGGACTTAACAAAAAATGGCGTCAGAGGTGGTCTTAACAAAATCCTGTATGTACAGTCTTGTTTACAAAGCAAAGATGGGGGCTACCCAACTGATAGAAAGTGCGTGAATAGAAAGGCCGTTTTTAAGAAATAGTAAGTGGTCCTATTAGGTTAAAATAGAGTCGGCATGCTTTGCCTGTAAAGAATTAGGTGGTAAGTGTTCTAGGCTTTGGGGGCCTATGATCTCTTTGGCAACCACTCAACTCTGCCATCTGTAGCGCCAGGGCAGCCATGGGCAGTACATAAACATGCACAGTGAGTGTGTTCTGTTCCAGGAGCACTCTATTTACACAAACGGGCAGTGGGCTGACTGTTGGCCGGCCCTAGAGGGACTAGTAGGAGGTAAGAGTGGCAGCGGTCCAAACAGAGAACGTGGTGATAACATGCTGTGGACTTGGACCGAATTCTGGAAGCATTTGGAAAACAGTGCAGGTTTCTGAGTCAAGAAGTGATATGATTGTTGTTGTTGTTGTTGTTAAGTGCCATTGAATGGGTTCTCACTCACAGCCACCTTGTGTGTAGCAGATTGAAAGACTGTTAGGTTCTGAACCATTTTCACCATAGTTATATTTGAGCCCATTGTTGCAGCCACTGTGCGGTCCATCTGGTAGAGGGTCTTCCTCTTGATCTCTGACCCTCGCCTTTACCAAGCACGATGTCCGTTTCCAAGGAGTGGTCTTTCTCGAGACCATGTCCAAAGTGCGAGAGACGAAGTCTCTCCCTCGTGACCTCCGAGGAGCATTCTGGCTGTCCTTCTTTCAAGACAGATCTGTTTGTTCTTTCGGCAGTCCATGGTACTGTCACTAGGCTTTGCTAGCACCATAATTCAAAAACATTGACTCTTCTTTGGTCTTGCTTATTCCCTATCCAACTTCCATATGAGAATTCTCATACTGCAGCAACATGCAAGCCAGAGTAGTATAATAGACTGGCAGACGAGTAGTGGGTGACTGGTTAGAGTAACGTTTTGGAGAGATTGGTCCATAGTAGTGGTTTTTTGGAGATGGTGGGATACTGCAGATGGTTTGCCAAGTTAGGAGACCGACATTGTAGGTTTGGCTTTCATGTTGAGTCTGCCAAAGGAGAGTGACCTTGTAAGTGAAAAGAGTCCAGGCTCTTGCAAAGATTGACAGAAAATTGGTATGTTACTGGATTTTGAGGAATGAGCCATGGATTAGATATGATTCAAATGCGCATTGGAAAGATTCACCAATTTTCCCAAGTACATTGAATTTCTACTGTGTCTTAACACACAGGGACCACACAGTTGATGGATGGGAAGCTCTGCTCTGAGGGGCTTCAAGAATCTAAGTGGGAAGTATTAAATAGAGCACATTGTAACAGGTCCTTCAGTAGTGGCAGACACATAGTTTTAAGGGCTTACAGCAAACTCCATTTCCTTGGTGAATGATGAGTCCAATAACAAATCAAGAAGACAAAAAGAAGAGAGTGTGGTGAGGAACATGATGGGTTTGGTACGGGGCATATCGACTTTACAAGCCCCTGGAGAAACTGGAAATTAAGGGAGTCCCAAAGCCCATCACAGATGTCAGTTGAGCAGTGGAGGCAATGGCTGGGGATTAGACTTGTTGGCCCACTCAAGGGCAGTAGTTGAAAGTGGGGGCAGTTTACTCAAGAGAACCTAAGAGTTGGTCTGAGAACTTCATGGTTGGGAAGAGAAGGAACCAGAGTATAGGTCACAGTAGTCAAGCGATGAGCGGAAGATTAATCGTAGGGAAGAGAATTCTGAGAAGCATGGCTGTTCTTACCTGACCCTGAGAAGGGTTGGCGCGTGGGGAAATCACCAGCTCTGTGAGTTGTGCAGTTGTTCACATGATGGAAGACTTTGAGGCGCGGATGGAGGGTCGAAGGTAGATCGCAAGAGATGGAGAAATAAGTGGATGGTGAGGAAATAGGCGGCAGGAAGTGTCAACTTAAAAAAAAATTTTTCAAGTTCCGTATTTGGGGGAAGAATGATGAGACAGTCAATAATGGCTCAGGGGAATTGAAGCATCTTTTTTTAGCATAGAAAATTTGAACATGGTTACAGCCTAAACTTGAGGCCATCTTCAGGTAATGTCCACTATGTGAGAAGTCTTTCATAAGCAAGTGCTTAGAAAACCTCTGGCTAAGCCAAGACTAAGATAGTTTATTACAGGAGTTCTTGGTGCCTTTGATGTGCTAATGACTAAGAAGATGGCAAATACCAACTTCTCCAAATAGCTTAAATTTGGGGAATTTCAGGTCTCATTTCCAAGATCGTTGTTCTGTACAACTGCTCCCTGGAAGATGCTGATCCAGGCAGAAGAGGAGGAGATGGTGAGGGGTACCAATTATGCAATCCATGATAATAATTGCCACTTTCCCAGCTTGGACTACGTGTTTATGTTTGCAAGCTTGGTTTGCTGTTTTGCATGTTCCAGTCTGGCTGGCAATCCGTGGAATAGGACAAAGACAAGTGTACTCTGAGTTCACACTGCTGTGCTTGAGCTCTCTGTCTTGCCCTCCTTCCCACACTTCCCCACTGTAGCCGGGAGGTCTCCCTGGAAGATTCTACAGTCTATTCCCCAAACCAATTGGTTGGGGATTGGAGGGATAGAGGGAGAAGCAGCCAGGGGTTAGTCTTTGAAAATCTTGCACAATGACCAGGTATTC